ATGGTCTAGCAAGTATTGTTCTAAAGGATCACTAGGAGGTACGGCAATAGAAGCAAGACCAATAATTTCATCCTTACTAGGTAATTCTTCTTCACGGTGTTGTCTACTAAAGTTAGAAAAATTAAATTCATGAGTCATATCATCTAAACCGATAGTAACAACATCTCTTTTGCAATCTATGGTAGCATTAACAGTATTTAAGAAGGGTCTACCAAATATAATGGGACAAAAGTTATCTTGTGGGGAACCAAGAACAAGAAAATCAGCAGGATATTTAGTTTTCCCACACAAGACTTCAACATCTCTAACAATTCCCATTGGTGAAATAGTATCTCTATTGGCAAGTTTAATTGTGACATCAATATCTTCCATCTCAGCAGGTGCAATATCATGCATAACTTCTTTGTATAAGGAATAAGGTATTGCACTAGCACCCATATCACATAAGCCATGATAACAATGATCTCATATTTTAACAGAAATAATAGGCATGCCTACCACAGGTCTAGGTTTATCTTTATCATGGGGTTTAGCAATTCTAGCAGTTTCATCATAGAAATAAATAACATGCCCATCAATATTATCAGACAAGAGATCTTTAACGATAGCAATATTAGGTTCAACTTTAACTTGCTCAGGAGGTGTATATGTTTTAATATTGCTTTTACGAACCATAGTTGAAGCTTTAGCATGATCTTTATCCTATCAGGGAAAGGTGGTTTCTCAACATAAGAAGTAGGAACAATCGGATCATTATAAGTAATAGTCTTTTCTTCAACTTTAATAGGTGCAGCTACTTTTACTTCTATGGGAGGATGATATTTAAACCACTTCTCCTCGGGGAGATTAACATAAGTAGCAAAAGATTCACAGAAAGAGGCTACTATCTCAGAGTCAACTCCATATTTAGTGCTAAATTTACGAAAAATATTGGTATCCATAAAAGATTTAACACAATCAAAACTAGGTGTCATACCTGACTCCTTACCATTGTCGAGGTCCCAATCTTCAGAGTTGCATTTAATTCTTTCCAATAAATCCCATTTGAATTCAATAGTCTTCATCATAAAAGAGCCAGCACAAGAAGTATCAAGCATGGTGCGATTGTTACCAGAAAGCCGGGCATAAAAATATTGAATAATCATTTCTCTTGAGAGCTCATGATTGGGGCATGAATATAACATTGATTTAAGCCTCCCCCAAGCTTGAGCGATGCTTTCTCCTTCGCGAGGCCAAAAATTATATATATAATTGCGATCACGATGAATAAGATGCATAGGATAAAACTTCTGATGAAATTTCAATTTCAATCGTTTGTAATTTCAAGACCTCATATCATCACATAGCCTATACCATGTCGATGCATCTCCCCTTAAAGATAAAGGGAAGACCTTCTTGTTAACAACATCTTCAGATACACCTGCAAGCTTAAATAATCCACAAACTTCATCCACATATATCATATGTTCATCAGGATGTTTTGTTCCATCTCCTAAAAAAGGATTAGCTAGCAGTTTTTCTATCATACCCGAAGGAACTTCAAAGCAAGAATTTTCATTTTCATTTTCATTTTCAGTAGGTTCAGTAGGTTGAGGAGCAACTCTTTGCTCTACTGGTCGGGGTGAAGATACCCCAAACAAGCCCCTTAGAGGATTACTTTCCATGGTAACAAGTGACAGTAAATTTTAGCACACTATATAAATTTTTCCTTACCAAATTCCACCTACCAAAGGCGCTTCACTCCCCGGCAACGGCGCCAGAAAAGAGTCTTGATGACTCACAAGTATAGGGGGTGGACCGGTGCTTGGGTAAGCGGTTTCCAGCAAAGTATTCTCTGCAAGTACTGAAATAAGTGGTAACAGATAGTTTTGTGATAAGATAATTTGTAACGAGCAACAAGTAACAAAAGTAAATAAGGTGTAGCAAGGTGGCCCAATCCTTTTTGTAGCAAAGGACAAGCCTGGACAAACTCTTATATGATGTAAAGCGCCCCCGAGGACACATGGGAATATCGTCAAGCTAGTTTTCATCACGTTCATATGATTCGCGTTCGGTACTTTGATAATTTGGTATGTGGGTGGACCAGTGCTTGGGTACTGCCCTTACTTGGACAAGCATCCCACTTATGATTAACCTCTATTGCAAGCATCCGCAACTACAACAAAAGTATTAAGGTAAACCTAACCATAGCATGAAACATATGGATCCAAATCAGCCCCTTACGAAGCAACGCATAAACTAGGGTTTAAGCTTCTGTCACTCTAGCAACCCATCATCTACTTATTACTTCCCAATGCATTCCTCTAGGCCCAAATAATGGTGAAGTGTCATATAGTCGATGTTCACATAACACCACTAGAGGAGAGACAACATACATCTCATCAAAATATTGAACGAATACCAAATTCACATGACTACTAATAGCAAGACTTCTCCCATGTCCTCAGGAACAAAAGTAACTACTCACAAAGCATATACATGTTCATAATCAGAGGGGTATTAATATGCATATAGGATCTGAACATATGATCTTCCACCAATTGAACCAACTAGCATCAACTACAAGGAGTAATTAACACTACTAGCAACCTACTAGCACCAATCCCGGACTTGGAGACAAGAATTGGATACAAGAGATGAACTAGGATTTTGAGATGAGATGATGCTGATGAAGATGTTGATGGAGATTGTCCTCTCCCGATGAGAGGAGCGTTGGTGATGACGATGGCGATGATTTCCCCCTCCGAGAGGGAAGTTTCCCCGGTAGAACAGCTCCGCCAGAGCCCTAGATTGGTTCCGCCAAGGTTCCGCCTCGTGGCGGCGGAGTTTCGTCCGAGAAGATGGCTTATGATTTTTTCCCATCGAAAGACTCCATATAGCAGAAGATGGCCACCGGAGGGCCACCAGGGGGCCCACGAGGTAGGGGGGCGCGCTAGGGGGGTAGGGCGCGCCCCCACCCTCGTGGCCAGGGTGTGGCCCCACTGATGAAGTTCTTGCTCTCAGTATTTTTTATATATTTGGAAAACATCTTCCGTGAAGTTTCAGGACTTTTGGAGTTGTGCAGAATAGGTCTCTAATATTTGCTCCTTTTCCAGCCCAGAATCCCAACTGCCGGCATTCTCCCTCTTTATGTAAACCTTGTAAAATAAGGGCATAAGTATTGTGACATAATGCGTAATAACAACCCATAATGCAATAAATATTGATATAAAAGCATGATGCAAAATGTACGTATCAGCGAGCTGCGCGTGTGCGTCAACATCCCGGGCCTCAACATGGCCGCTTCTTAGGACCTCTTCTGGCCATCGTGCATCAACCGGAGCGGGGGCGCCCCTGCAACTACGTTTGCATGCCCTTCGGCCTACTGAAGGCGGGCGCCACGTACCAGCGGTTCGCGTAGCTCGCGTTGGTGCCTCATGAGGCCCGATGCATGGCGCTGGTGTCTCACGAGGCCCTAGCCCCTCACGAGCCTCCAGGGCCTCAGGAGCCAGCCGGCCCCTGAGGGGCGAACCTTCGCGGCGTGCTTCGCCAGTTACCTCGACGCTTCCGCATCAGCATTGCGAGGTGACTTTTTGGTTTGTTCAATTGAGGGTGCCCCACGGGCTGCATCATCCTTAAGTTGTTTAGGGCCAGTCCCAACAACTGCCTTACCTTTCAGTTTCATACTAAACCCAGTTATGCTTTCATGAGTTTACTCCACCTGTTAATTTCGTGCTTGGCATCACATCGCGTTCGGAGACGCCACTCCTCGGGTCTCTGCGCGCTCGCAACTCTCCTCTTGACCGTCCCATGAGCGGGGGCTATTGGCACGATGCCTATGCTCGGGTCCGTCCCTGCAGCGCTAATAAACCTAAGCGACTGAGCTCTAGCTCGTGGGCTGGCCCCGTGCACGTCACCTCATCAGGTCCTTAGTGCCTTGTCTCCTCACGGAACAATCATGAGTAGACCAGCAAGCGCGCGTCGTCCTACGTACCTTATAATCCGTCAGCATGTAGAGGCTTTAGGAATCAGCCGCCCGGATGACGTACGAATAAACCTCGTCGCCTTAGGAGGCCCAGCTATGAATCCATTGTGTTCATCAGTATCATACTACTCTAGCATGCTACAAATCCACCACCAAGCTACCACAACATCACAATCTACCATCTGCTCATAGACCGGCGCACAAATCAAACCTACCGCATGCTTGCACATCAAACCCTACGACCACATGCTATCAGATCTAGCTACAATGAACAGAGAGAAGGGGATGGTTGAACTCACAGAGGCCATGGCTGCAGCTCGAGGGGGATGCGGAACGGTCGAAGAAGTTGAGGAAGGAGTCGCCGCCGCCGTGGACCGCCCGTCGGTAAAGGAGTGCCACTTACCTGCTCGTCGGTGCTGATGCGCGTCGGCGGGAAAGCTCGAAAGGGGGGAGAAGGGTGGCGGGAGTTTGGGCGGTGAGAGGAGGGGCCTGGTTAGGAGGTTTTTTTTTTGAGATAATCTTGCGAAACCTTATTAACCCGTCACAATGTTTAAGGGGGCCTGGTTAGGAGGTGCTTTAAACTTCGTGCGATCAGACCGAAGAGTGTATGCGGCCAACCAAACAGGCCGGATTTTCCCCGCACGGATCTGGTTGGGCTTAATGCAGGAACCAAACAAGTTCATAATCATCTCGGATGCCTTGTCAGCCTGTACTGGGAGGCCCATCGCAGGCCCACGTAGAACAAGGGTGTGGGTACAAAACCCCCACCACCCAGGGACCTAGCCGCAAGAGCTCCCATCTCCGCCGTGCCCGTGCTCCCCCGTCCCAAGGAAGCCTCCTCCCCCTCTCCCCCTTCCGCAGTCCAAACGAAATTAAGAGAAATCTCCCCCAAGTTTTCGAAACGGAGGCGAATCCCCACCCAAATCGGTTTGAATCGGCCACCCACCCCACCAAACGAACCCATCTGGTTCCGGGCTCTGGTGGCCGTGGCGACGGGCGAGCGAGCGAGCACCCCATCTCGCCCCGCCCGCCTCCCATGGCGTTTCACGTCGCGTGCCCCATCACTTGGTATGTTTACGTTACACTCCTCTTCCTCCTCCCCCTCCCCCTCTCGGTCTCGGTATCTCTCTCTCGTCACCGCCCGCCCGCCCGCTTCTCCTCTCTCGCGCTGACGGCCGGCCGGGCCTCTCTTCCTTCCTTTGTGCAGCCGGAGGGTGTGCGACTGCGAGCTAGGGTTCGGCGCCGCGAGGGCCAACAAGAGGACCGGGGCATGGGCCGGCGTCGCGGCGGCGCTCGAGGGCTTCCTCGCCGATCCGTGGCTGCTGAGGCCGGCGGGGGCGGGGGCGGGGGATGCCCGAGAGCCCGGCACGGTGCAGGTGGAGGTGCCGCCGCTCGAGCTGCCGGAGGAGGGCGAGGACGAGGCGTGCAGGGCGGCGATGCAGCGCCAGGCCGCCGCCGCGGAGGACTTCGCCAGGCGCCTCGAGGGCGCCTATGGATCTCCGGTGAGCCGAATCTACGACGCACTTGCTTCTGCATAGGGCTTATTCCTCTCTGGTTTTCCCGTCGTTGTTAAGGACCTAGGGTTTGCGTTTTTTTGTGGCGTTCATGCCGATGATTCTAGCTAATGTCGGTGTAGGCGCATTTCGGGTTCAGTTGTCTGTTTAGCTGTCTGGTTACTGCGAATTTCCCGAGGTTTTGGTGTAGATTCCTTGGGAAGTCTGAATTGGGATGATAATGGGCCGCCGGGAGATCATATGCTAGCGCAGAAGTTTGCATCTTCTATGTTCTGTGGTTGTAAGAGTGTGTACTGGCTCCAGGTAGGTATTTGTGGGAATTCTGGTTAGATTTTAGAGCCAGGGCCAGTTCTTTTCGGCGATTCTCCCAGAATCGCCCCCCTCCCCAGCTTCTCCTAGAATCGCCACTCCATATTTTTTTACAATCCTATCTAGTTAAGGTCTAATTAGCTAGGATTGTAAAAAACATATGGAGTGATGATTCTGGGAGAAGCTGGGGAGGGGTCGATTCTGGTAGAATCGCCTAAAAGAACTGGCCCCCAGTAGGCTTGGATTTTTGGGTAAATACAGTTGTTTGTGACATTCATAGGCTCATAGCTCATCAGTTTCGTGTGTCTCAGAGCAATTTCGATGCCCTTGAGTGGTTGTATGCACGTGGGCTATGCCAGATGAGTTGACCATGACCTTTGCTGATTCCGGTGTATTATTTTGAGAGGAGTATATGGTCGTGCTCTGTCTTTGAGGTTTTGTTATGCTATGGGCCAAGTTGGTATGTTTTGGTGTTTAATAAGTGCTGTGATTACTGGTGCTAGTTTTTGGTGCCTATGGAGCTTCTGATCTGTGGATGGCTTATGAGCTCTGGATGCAAATGATGGTGTGAAGTTCACTTATTGTTGTTTTGTCTTGATTCTTTTAGTTACCCTGTGTTGTTTGTGCTTGTGCATAGTTGGTGCTGCTCTATACTTTGCGGGCATGCACTGGGGGAGCCCTGGTTCTAGGAACAATTTAGCCATATACGAGTATACCTGTATATTATGCAGATGTGTGGCTTAATGAGAGCAAGCATTACTTGTGCATCCCCCCACACCCCTGAAAGAGAAATGGACCCGTGTCTTGCAGAGATTCTCATTTACGTTAGTCACGCATTCATGCCGACGTTGCTGTATATTGAACTTACCTTTGCAGTAACGTGATAACTGCTCCAGTAAGATATATGAGCTAGTTTATATGTTCTGTTTTCTGTTTCAATGAAACAATATCTTATTGATATCCTGTATTTAGCTGTTATAGTCGTGGTGCCTTTTTTGTTTCCAAATTTGGTAATCAAATACTGCTTTTCTCGGTTTTGGCATTGTACTCCCACCAAAGTTAGCATTGCAACCTTCAACTCCTAAACTATTTTTTAACACTGCACTAGAGAATCCATTCAACTTTTACAACATTGGTCCCGTCTCAGATGGTTCGTGCTGACTCAGATGCTACGTATCGGACAACCTGGACAACTTATCCACTTCAGTGGACTGACACATCAGCAAACTACATAAAAAAAACTTAGCACCCTTAATAGCAAGATAGATAAGTTCTTTATGTAGTTTGCTGACGCAGATAAGTTGTATCTGAGACGGGGACAAGGTTATAAAGTGAACGAATTTCATAGTTCAGGGTTAAAAATAAACTGTCTGATGGTTGTAATGTGAACTTCAGTGAGACTTGAAGGTTGTAAAGTGGACTTTCTTCAATTAGAAATGGCGCAGAATTTATAACCAGCCTATGAGATTCCTGATTCTTCGTCAGTTCATCGTTATTACGGGTAGTTTTGTACTTCTATGCTGGAACAGTGGAGTTCACAACTAAATACCTTCTTAAAATATTATTTTATACTTCTTCCAGGAGGCTGAAGGAGATGAAGATGACTCGGATCGAGAAGATCAAGGGAATGCTGCTGTCAAGGTTATGTGCCGCTTATGCTTCTCTGGAGAAAATGAGGGCAGCTCAAAAGCTGCCAAAATGGTTCCATGCAAACTCTGCAACAAGAAGTATCATAAGAAGTGTGTGAAAAATTGGGGTGAACATAGAGGTAATTTAAAAAATTATTCCCTGCGTTCGTCTTAAACACATTGTCTTTTGTATCCTTTGATGATATCCATTCCATCTAGATCTCTTCCACTGGAGCTCGTGGATCTGTTCATCTTGCCGCAGCTGTGAGGTTGGTTGTCTATAACATCATTATCCTTACCTTGTACATGTGTATTTCCCAACTATCAGAGTTTTTGTGACACCAGAAGTATTTAAGGGTGTGTTTGGTTGAAGGGATTGAGTAGCTGTGGGTATCTCCAACCACCCGGTTAGGGATAGCCACTTTTTTTGTTTGGTTGAGTAGAATGCACAAGTTGTTGAAGAAAAAATAACTGCGTGTTTGGTTTGAGGGATGAACGGATGAGTGGTGGTCTGGTGGATAAGAGTTCGAGTAACCTTCTTCTATTGAGGTGGTGAGGTTACCTCGTAATTACAACATAAAACTACATGTTGCTTATTACATGGTGCACGCCCATCAATGCAACTAGATCTCCAATTATGCCTACTCAAGAAATGTAATCCAAGTCAAGACCGAACATAATGTGTATGTATATGTGGACATGGGAACAAATCAACAGTTGAATGAAGTTGGGGCAAAAATTTGCGAGAAACACGATTGTGGTATCTCAAAGTTTCAGATTACAAACACTAATTTAACTAAGTATGCAATCATTAAAAACTGTATATACATAACAGAATACTTCACGGTTCATATGTACAGCCTACTCATGTTCGTTGGGGCAGTTGCCTCAAAAGCAATTATGCAACAGACGAAGACAAATTCAATGGGAGGAGGTAACAGACAGAGGGTAGAGGGACTGCCGCCGTGCGCCCTCACGCCGCCGGACACGAGCTCACTCAGCGAGCACCTACAGGGTACATTGAGCCGGCGCTCCACCCGAGGGCAGCGCACATGCATCATCAGGCTGGCTCCACCTTTGGTCTTCCTTGCCGCGCTCTTTGGTCGGCCTGCGGCCCAGCCGGCACGCCATGGATGACTCCGCCGCCCTGCGCGCCCTTGTCGGCCCTGCCACCGTGCCACGGCTGGCTTCACCGCCTCGCGCCTTGGCCGGCCCCGCCGCCCAGCACCATCAGGATCTGCCGCCCCGAGCCCTGGAGGCAGCCACCACCCTCGCCTTTGATGTGCCATGGTCGCGCACAATCTGCGCCGCTGACTAAGTCAAGGGAAGAGGCCATATAGGGGAAGAGAGGTGACAGAAGCGAAGAAAACATTTCGTGGTGAAGCTAGCGATGCACGCGGGTGCTTGGCTATGTCCACGAGATTTTCGCGGACGCGCTCAGCCTCGTTTTGACAGCATACAGGGAATCTTGGCTGCCCATATCCCTGGCCATCCCTTCTCTCTGTTGAACCAAACACCTGATAACCACCTAAAAAGTAGCTATCCCTGGCCATCCGGGGATAGCCACTGAACCAAACGCACCCTAACAGTTCTCTAGTACTATTAATTTTGGCTTCATCCGTATGCTGGTACATGATTAGAGTTTAAATCCTTTTTGGGTCGGTGCAGTTTATGAAAATTGTAGCATACATTTTGCATTATTTAAGAGCTATAATATTTGTATATGCATCAACTGTTATTGTGGTGGCCATGTACTTCCAAATCAGCAAATACTTACATTTGATCATAATTAATTTCGAAGTTCTCCATGTTCCTATATGAGCAGTTGTAAAGTACTCCCTCTGTCCCATATTAATTGTCGCTGAAACGGATGTATCTTGACGTATTTCAGTGCTAGATACATCTGTTTGAGCGACAATTAATGTGGGATGGAGGGAGTAGCATCTTTGCACCGTGTAGAACGTTTGTTATGCCTTAGTTACCGCCAGCTTTCTTGGTAAAGAAGGAAATGAACCCAGATTCTCTGCCTAATTCTGTGTAAATAAACGCGTATTTAGGTGTGTCGGCGGCCTGGTGATCCCAATAAGTTAATGTTCTGTAAAAGGTGTGATGGAGCCTATCACTGTTACTGTCAGCAACCCTCACACAAGGTACACCTATTGTTCACCTTCCTCATTCTGCTTTCTACAGATTGAATATGTGGGGCTCGTCACTTAACAGTGAACTTTATAACGTTGCAGAATGTTACTCATGGACCATATTTATGTCCAAAACATACAAGGTGTCACAGCTGTGGATCTGGTGTACCTGGGAGTGGTCATAGCACAAGGTACGTAAACCACTAATGCGGATGAATGATATTGTTCTGAAGTTTACTTAAGATCTTTTTATCACGTATTTGCCACTTTATGTGTCGTGCTTATATACATCATTGCGAGTTTTGGTGCGCAGGTGGTTTTTGGGGTACACATGCTGTGATGCTTGTGGGCGGTTGTTTGTGAAAGGAAACTACTGTCCAGTTTGCTTGAAGGTAGCTCCTTCCCTTCTACTCTCTCTTGGCATGACTACTGTCCTTCTACACAGAACGATTTTATAATGTGCCCTGTTAAATTTCAGGGTATTAGAAAATGTTTTGTTTCTCTCCAGCTGCTCTTTCTCTTCTAATATAGTGACCATATGCTATGCGTGAGGCCTTAAAATGAGGATCCTGTTTGTCTATAGCTGAAAGTTTCTTATTGAGATTTTATTTGTTAAGTTTAAAATGTACTGTAATAAGCAATGTTGGGTCATATACACCATAATGTGTTGCGGAGTTTTTCCATGCTAACTTCTGCTGAGATACCCTTTTCTTTTGCTTGGTTCACCCCTTTTCAGGTTTATAGAGATTCTGAAGTGATACCTATGGTTTGCTGCGACGTTTGTGAAAAGTGGGTACATATTGAATGTGATGGCATCAGGTCTGTATGAACGTCAACCCCTCATTTTGTTTAAATTAACCCACTCATATTTGTTGCCTTCTCTGAATCTAGTGTTTAGTGCCTTGATACTTCAAGATTTTCACTTCTGTGGTGTACTACGCTTTACTGACTTTCCATATAATTATGCAGCGAGGAAAAGTACCAGCAGTTCCAAGCTGACCAAAATCTCCAGTATACATGCGCATCATGCCGTGGTGAATGCTCCCAGGTAATATATAATTCTTTCATGGTTTCTCATCGCTGTATTACACTCCCTCCATTCCAAAATAAGTGTTGCTGATTTAGTACTAAATTAGTACAAAATTTGTACCAAATCAGCGATACTTATTTTGGGACGGAGGGAATACTCTGTTATCTTACACGCCTTTTGCTCTCTTCAGATCAGGGATGCAGAAGATGCAGTTAGGGAGCTTTGGAAGAGGAGGAACATTGTTGATCATGATCTTATGGTTAGTTTAAGGGCTGCTGCTGGACTGCCTTCTTTAGAAGATGTAACACCTTGTCCAAACTCGGACGATGAAAGACTCGGTGCATTAGTATTGAAAAATGATGGTAGAAACACACTAAAATTCTCTTTCAAAAGTAACAGCAGTAAGCCTCCATTAGATCAATCTGAACAAGAAAAGAATGTTCCTAAGAACTCAGGGACGAATAAGAAGCATTCCAAGAAAAAAGGCAACCAAGGTAATAAGTCAGTTGCTGATCCGAATGAGATATTTCTTGAGAGAAGGCATGAAGTCAAATCAATGAGTAGTCACTTGGGAGATCATACTGTAGATGTTAATCATGAGAGGAATTCTTTCAAGAATAATGAGAATGTGTTTGTTTTATCTTCAACTCGAAGTTCAGAGAAGGATCTGAAATCCACATCTGCAAAAGCTGCAACAAACAGTGCAGATATGATACCAAAAGTCAAAATCAAAGGCAGTAAGGTGCCGAGCCTGCATTTCAAAGATATAGGCGAGGAAAATAATGCCAAGGGTGACACAGGGAAAGGTACCAAGTTGGTTATTCATCTTGGAACACGTCACAAAAGTAAAAGTGGCTCTCCTAAGTCTGAAATGTCCAATTCTCATAAAGAGCAAGAGCTTGGTTTGATGCATGGTATGTGCCTTATTTTGTGTTGCTTTGCCATTTACCTTTTTAGTTTGCTTGATATATTGTATCTGGCATGTATGTACAAACTTCTGTGCTAGTAACTACTAGTAATTTACTAATTTGAGACGTTACTAAAGGTCTCCTATAGATAGCTACGGAATTATAGCTATTTTGTGGCATTTCTCCTGATAACCTTTCAATTGACATATGTTGCCATATTGGCATAAATTTAAGAACTGGACTTGTGACCAAACCAGTCAGGCTGCTGGTTCATCCAGTTTGATATTCGGACCATTATATACTCAATGTTCCAAATATTGGCCAGTTAATTGCTACTCGGTGTGTTACCGAATAGCTGATTAGCTGATATATTGGCCGATTAACTGGCCAATTCGTCTATTTATCGTAGTTCAAAAAAGCGCTGTTAGGCGCTTGCCTAAGCGTGCTTAAGCGGTGGGCGTTGGCATAATGCCTCGCTTTGGCCCTAAGCGCTCAAAAAGGCGGCCGGCGAGAAATCAGCCTTCTCCGTCGAGGAATTGCGTTTCTCAGGCGAGAAATCAATCTCCCTGGCGAGGATTTGACCTCCCCAGGATTTGACCACTCCGACAACAAATCGATCGATTCCTGCAAGGGGTTGAGATTCTCCGGCGAGAAATCGAGCTTTGCTGGCTTGTTGCCATGGGTGCAGCAAGGGAGAGGAAGAGGTAGAGAGGTGGCATGAGGAGGATCCCTAAAATTTCTGTCGACTGTGCACACACAGGAGGTTTTAATAAGAGAAGAACAAGTGTAGGTGGGCTGGTGCTTTAATGGGCTAGGTCACCTCATCTTGCTTATTTCTTCACACTAGCGATCGTGTACGGAACTCCTAATCGCGCCTAAGCAGCGCATAAGCTATCAAGGCGCAAATAGGTGGTCAAACACATAATTTACACCTAGCGCTTTTTGAACTTTGCTATTTATCCCTACTCAACAGCTGACCGATATGGTGCCAGTTACCGATATCCTGAACATTATAGTATATAGTAGTAGAAAAAGGCAAAATAGAATTCCTTCTATTGAACAACAGCTGACCTGAGGTGAGTTGGTTATCATATGCCATGGTTGGGCTTTGGCCTAGTGCCTAGGTGACCTGGGTTAGAATCATCCAGCACGGATTACATCTTTCTCGCCTCCACCCGTTCCGCTGCCTGGTTTGCACAAAGATACCCGGTTCGACCGGTTTTCACCAGTCCGGTGGTTGGGACGGTCCGTGGAGCTTAAGAAACAGCTAAGGTCACCTATTCTGTCTTCTTCTGGTCCAACCGGCTATCCGGTCATGTTTTTACTACTAGACATATTACCTGATTTGGTAATATTGAATTGCTTAGTACTCCCTCAGAATATGTAGGGTGTATCCACCATTCTCCAATTTGTAAGGCGTATTTGTTATTTTGCGACATTAGTTCTGAAAATACCCTCTGCTCAGCCTTCTGAGATTTCTTTCCGTGCATGCATGGCTCACACTTGTTTCCGTAAAATTTGGATCAGAACCCTCCGTGATGTGATCCACCCCTTAAAAGAGAAATTCGCGGTTTGCCAGTGGAGATTGAGTTGTATGCATTTCTTGATATGGTGATTTGTCGAGCGGAGATTGAGGAGATGAACCGACTATTTTTGGTGTGCTAATAACTGACATCACACGATTTGGAATGAGATGATTACACTGGGGCAATACATTCCACAAATTTGTTATGACTCCTTGTTATTCTTGCAAAACTTATACGTCCAACATATTGGGGAGGGAGTACTCATTCTGGTTCCCAAAAAAGCTTAATTTGAAATCATATGATATATATTAGCCGTTCTGTTAAAAACAATTAGCTGTTTGCTCATTCCAACCTAGGTATCTGATTGGGTTCTTAGGTAGGGTTCGTCCAGTGCTTCAGAGTTCATAGCCTTACCCGTATGTGCACTCCAAATACCCATATTATCCGCCCCTGAGATGGCAGTTCCAGAAAGACATTGCCAAACCTATGGTTCATATACTGCAATCTAATTCGCAGTGCTGATATTCCTGTAACCTCGTCATCATCCCCTGATAATTTTCCCATCTTATTGTCCGAGCAGTTGCATTGTTGGTATTGATATGTCATGCTACCTCTGTTCCAAAATAGATGATGTCCTATAAAGCATGCAGTCAACGTTCTCTAACTTTGACTATTGGTTTAAAGAAAATAATACCATTATATATTCCATTAAACTTCATAATTCTGCAGCCTTTTATTTTATTTCCTTACATTTGTATGAAAGAATGACGGTCAAAGTTGTGTGTTGGAGGCTCTGTGCATAAATGTCTGTATTTTAGAACGGAGGTAGATTTTTATTTATTAGCTTCCCTTGTTTTGTAATGTTAGATGCTTAAGCTGTTGTTTGATTTTTGCTGTTGCAAGTTTTCTCTTAGTTTACTTCAGATTTCTTCCCTTGATTCTGTGTTGAAGATTGAAGTGGCTTGGTCACCTTTTGCTATATATTTCAGGAGGGAAAATTGATGTAACAAGCCACTTCAAAAGCTCGAAGAGTAGTAAAAAGGAAAAAAGTGTAATGAAACTAGTTGGAGAGACAGGAGTACAGCAAAGAAGTAGCCTTTTGGGAGATCTGGGCACCTCCAAAAAGCATGCAACTGGAAAAAGGAGCAGTGCTCTAATTTCTGGGATGGAAAATGCAAGTGAAAGTGGAACAAGAAGCAGATCATTTGGACATAAGCAACCTATTCCCAGTCAGCTGACAGAGAGCCAGGGCACTGCTTCATTTCCTGTCAACAACTCTCCTGACAGCTTAAAGCCCTCGTTGCTTAAACTCAAATTTAAGCGTCCACATTTGGAGCAGCCAAGTGCCCAGGTTTCTCAACCAGAGGAGCCAGCCACCTGGGCTTCTCAGCAAGAGGACTTAAATGTTGCTAAAGGCCAGAGATCAAAGAGGAAAAGACCTTCGACAGACAAGATGGATGGCTCAGAGGGCAGTACTCCATCCAAGAGGCATGGGCAGAGCACAGGGGACGAAGCAATGGATGCGACCTGGATACTGCGCAAGTTGGGCAATGATGCAATTGGGAAGAGGATTGAGATCCAATTAGCTTCTGATGGCAAATGGTGAGCTCCGTCTTGCCTAAATTCTTGTTATCTTTTATGTTTGTTGTATTGTGCTGGTTAAATATTTGTCTTATGTTTTGAGTTATTTGTTATCAATGTTGTTCATAGCATATCTACTGAAACTCGGGTACTTTGCCATCAGAAATGGATTTGGTCTGGGGATCTATCTATATAATCCAAGTAATCTGAGTTCGCTATTGTTCTTTACCAGTCTTTTATCTGCTCTTTTTTTTGAACCATGCATTACCCCCTTTCCATTATCTGCTCTTGCATTGCATGGTAGTATTGCCCAGCATCAATCTTTTGATTATTTTTGCTGGGCAGCAAAAAGGGGTGATTTAGTGTTGTGAATCTTAGTATTGTCTCCCACGCTTTGTCAGTCCTTTTGTTTGTTGTTGAATTAGCAACAGGTACTAAATGTCATTCTTTTTGGCAGGCATCAAGGTGTGGTATCTAATGTCATCAGCGGCATGCTTTGTGTTCAGTTAGATAATGGTAGCTCTGAGAACTTAGAGCTTGGAAAGCAGGCGGTTCGATTGATAGCTCAAAGATCGAAGGGCGGAAAGAGATGAAACCTTTCTCCATCTACTCTCGTCTCTTCCCGGTAGTGCGGTGGGCGGAGTTCACCCGGCGGCTCCTCCACATACTGCCGCTGACTGGATGAGTTACAGTGCGCAACCTCACTAGCTTGTTGCGCCGGTTACGTCATCAGTCTAGCGTAACAGACTTGTTTTCCGTGCTGTTTGAAGCTCATTTGCTTCCATTGAATTCGTTAGTGTAGCAACTGGGAGAGTAGTTCGTTTTCCATGGATGTAAAAGATGCGGTTAGCGTGCTGTTGTGATGGTCTTGTACATGTGGATGTTGAATGAGGAGTTCGAATGAGTTTTTCCTTGACATTTTTCCTTGTTTACTGATGGGTTTTCCATGGGTCTTGCCTGTTCTGGTTGAGATGCATCGTGACTCGTTGACGTCAGTCGGTGGTCCAGTAGGGTGATGACAGGATGCGTGGATTGGTGGGTGTCATTGGTCGAAGTCTAACTTTGTACTTCCTCTGACGTCTTATATTTGTTTATAGAGGGAGTATTTCACTCTAAACTAATAAGTTCTTGTTTTTTTAAGTAAAGGAAAGAAGTTTATACTCCCTCCGTTCCAAAATATAGCGCGCCCACGCTTTTCAAGGTTCAACTTTGACCATAAATTTAACCCACGAGACCGACTGCGGCGGGATCAAAAATTATATAATTAAAAACTTTTTTTGAATACGAATTCATTGGTATAATTTTTTCGCCCGCCGCAGTCGGTCTTGTTGATTAAATTAATGGTCAAAGTTGAAGCACGGAAATCGAGGACGCACTATATTTTGGAACGGAGGGAGTATGACAATGGGCAAATAAAAATGCTAGACTTACAGTAACCAGCATACATACCGAAGTTACGGGAATCTCATTGAGGCTCAACCCGTGAATTAAGTTGTGGACTTGTGGTACCCAAATCGTGGTAAATCTAAGTCCTCCACCTCATCTCCGTAACAACTTTCTGTGAAAACTGCCCGTAGCTGTAGCAAAGTTCTCTAGTTTTTTCTTTTTATATGGAAACTGCCATGTTATTTAGGTAAAAAAACATGTTATTAGAATAAAAATGAAATCTACCTAAAGAAGACATCTTTTAATATAAAAAATGTCATCTTTGTCGGGACCCTGATCCTAAGTCACACTAATCTAGCATGTAACACATCATATCACTTTACGGCCTCACGTACGGCAACCCAGGGCTGCCGCCTTTACCTTGGCCGGGACTGTTTGCGTCTTTTGGCTAATGTATATGATTGTGCCGCTAGTATTCATATGACAAAGAACCGGGTCAACATGAATAGTCGTGAACCAAGGTGGCACAGTCGTACAGGGACAGACATACGTAACCCAGCAATGAACGTGGTGGTCATCAACGTATGAACCCAAATCGTAGCAAGCTACAAGGACTTAAAGGAACAACGCGTGACATTTCCCCGAAGGGACAGACACAGGATCAAAGAATGATACATGCCGGCCAATCCCAGTGTTTCGGAGCAGTAGCGAACTACTATGGCTTAGTGGAAGCACTACGGAGCATTTCCCCATAAGAAAGGCTACCAAAGGCAAACAACTAAGTGTCGAACCCCACACATAGCAATACACGTTACACATACGCATAACATGCAAGTATGTGTTGTACAACATGTCATCACAACATAACTCAATAACTTATATAGATAAAGGCCCAGAAGAGCCAACATAGCATTATATTACAAACAAGGGTCATATGACCCAACATTCAAAGCATACAACCAACAGAAGCATAACATGTCTGAGTACATACAACTGCAAATGAAAAAGGCTGAAAAGCCTGACTATCTACAAGACCCTCCCAAGGGTACAAGATCGTAGCTGAGGTAACAAGCTACTCGCCGAAGTCCAAGTAGAACTACTAATGAGACCGAAGTCTCTTCTACAAAAACATAAATTAAGCAACATGAGTACAAAGGGGGTGGTGGAGTTTAACTGCACCAAGCCAGGTTTGACTCAGTGGCTATCCTGAACTATGACTACGAGTAATTTCTTTGAGGCAAGAAAGCACACACGAGTCCATTAACCACCACAACAATACACAACTATGGATTCTCTCTCGTCTCCTACGAGAAGGTCATCCATTGCACTCACACTTCTCTTGCGCATTTTAAAGTATCCATTTTGAGTTGTCTATGACCATATAAGTCTGCAAGTAGTCCATATCGCGGATGCGGCTATTCGAATAGATCATTACCATGCAGGGATGTACTTCTTCACACACGCTCTCACCACTTACCACCATATACACGTCATGTATCTCGGCAACATTCAAGCGGAAGCCCAGCGAGGGTGTCAGCCATAACCTGACTAACCACGCAAGACTCTAGTCTAGGTCTATCGCCTATCTGAGGCTGAACCCGCAAGGGAAGTTCGGCCGAAGTTTCCATCACGACCCAAATGATGTGTGTAGGGTTCCCAAGCCCACCTCTACGGATGGATCTATGCTTGGTATACTGTGGCACGGTGCCTAGTCTGTCCTAAGCCCACCTAGCCGCGTGCCACTTGGTAGACAAATAGCATGACCTACAAACACCAGAAACTAGTTGCAACTCCTGGACAGAGATCGGGGCGGTTAATAAGTTGGGAGGGGTCATTGGTTTTGAGCCCAATGTGTGGTAGTAGCTGTCTTGGATAACATACACATGACTCAGTTCTTAAGGACGGTCCCAATAAGACAACCCACCATGTACTCCTACATGGCCTCTCATCGCTACATTTACCAAATTGTGTTCACACACTTAGCTCTCAACATCAGAACATGATCACAACATTCCAATTCATCCCTAGATGAATCAGACCTAACACAACTCTAAGCAATAGCAAGCATGGCATGGATGAAGTCACAACATGGCTCAAGCAACTCCTAATCATGCTAGGAGGTTTTAACTATTTACTATGACAGTGACAGGTCATGCAGAGGAATAGGTTCAACCACCGCAACACAAGTAATAGTTGAAGCGTTGTTGTTCTAATGCAATAAAAGAGAGCATGAGAAAGAGAGTGGGATTGTATCGAAATTACCAAGGGGGTTTGCTTGCCTGGAATATCAACACGGTAGCACTACTCCTTGAATAAGTAGTCGGTGCCACTCTGATACATCTCCAACGTATCTACATTTTTTTACTGTTCCATGCTATTATATTATCTATCTTGGATGTTTTATATGGATTAATACACTGTTTTGCATCATTTTTTAGGACTAACCTATTAACCTAGTGTCCAGTGCCAGTTGCAGTTTTTTTTGTTTTTGTCTTTTACAGAAAATCAATACCTAACGGAACGAAACCTTTTGAGGATTTTTCCTGGACCAGAAGACAACCATGAAGCTTCAGGAGGAGGCCAGAAGACCCACAAGGGAGCCACAAGCCCTCAGGGCGCGGCCCTAGGCTTGTGGGCCCCTCACAGACCTCATAACTCTAATCCCAGCTCTATAAATACCCAAATATTCCCCTTACGCTAGGGGGCACACCAAAAATACTTTTCCGCCGCCGCAAGCTTCTGTTAGAGATCCCATCTTGGGGCCTTTTCTGACACTCTACCAGAGGAGGATTCGATCACGGAGGGCCTCTACACCAACCTTGCTGCCCTTTCGATGATGTGTGAGTAGTTTACCACAGACCTACGGGTCCATAGTTAGTAGTTAGATGACTTCTTCTCTCTCTTCGATCTTCAATACAATGTTCTCCTCAATGTTCTTGGAGATCTATTCAATATAATCTTCTTTTGCGGTGCATTTTTTGAGATTCGATGAATTTTGGATTTATGATAAGATTATCTATGAATATTATTTGAGTCTTCTTTGAACTCTTTTATGCACGATTAAGATAGCTTTGTATTTCTCTCTGATCTATCGATTTGGTTTGGCCAACTAGATTGGTTTTTCTTGCAATGGGAGAGGTGCTTTCTGATGGGTTCAATCTTGCGGTGTCCTCACCTAGTGACAGTAGGGGTAGCGAGGCACGTATTTGTATTGTTGCCATTAAGGATAAAAAGATGTTTTTTTACCATATTGATTGGATCTATCCCTCTACATCATGTCATCTTGCTTAAAGCGTTACTCTGTTCTTGTTAACTTAACACTAGATGCATGCTGGATAACGGTCGATGTGTGGAGTAATAGTAGTATATGCAGGAAGGAGTCGGTCTACTTGTCACAGACGTGATGCCTATATTCATGATCATTGCCTTAGATATCGTCATAACTTTGCATTTTTCTATCAATTGCTCAACAGTAATTTGTTCACCCATGATATGTGTTCTTTCAAGAGAGAAGCCTCTAGTGAAAACTATGGCCCCAGGTCTATTTCTCATAATATATTTTCAGATCTATAAAACCGAAAACCCAAAAATATCTTGCTGCAATTTATTTATATTTACTTTATTTTTCATTTTACTTATCTTTTATACCTATCTCTATCAGATCTCACTCTTGCTAGAGACCGTGAAGGGATTGACAACCCCTTTTTTGTGTTATGTGCAAGTGTTTGTTAGTTTGTGCATGTGCATCTATTGGGGACTTGCTTGTACCTCCTACTGGGTTGATACCTTGGTTCTTAACTGAGGGAAAATACTTATATATACTTTGCTACATCACCGTTTCCTCTTCAAGGAAAAAAATCAACACAAGCTCAAGAAGTATCACACTCGGAGAGGCAAAACCTATTGAGAATAGGGATGGCAATTCTATCCATGGATCTGGATACCCATGAATACCCGACCCAGTTGGGCAAGGGTATGGAGCACATTTTTGCCCATGGGTCCGCGGATATAGATACCCAGGAACAGCTGGGTTGGGCACGGTTATAGTTTGTGCTCCATGGATATCCAATGGATACCCGTATGACATGTGGGGCCATATGCCAGTGACAGTAGAAAGAATGAATTAATGTGAAATGGCAGGCAATATGCAACTGGTGCCATAAGCTATATGCTGCAAAATTAACCTCTCGTATGTCACACTTAAGGA